GGGGAGTGGCAGCAGTTTTGACAAAATCGTTATTTTATTGAAGGAACGATGAACGATGAGATTTCCAGTTGTGTTTATAAATAGACCGCACGAAAAGTGGGCTGTCTAGAATTTCCAAAAAAAACCCAACACAACCCAAACAAAACCAAACAAAATAAAAAACATTTTTAGAAAAAAGTTGTGACAGATATAGACAGGCTGATTATTTTCCTTTACCGCTGGCAAAAAAAAATTCTTTAACAAATTTATTTTTCACTTCACTATACTGGAAGGGAGGTAAGGAATTTCTGCAGTGTACATAACTCTCCATCAAGCCAGAGATTTAAGGTTTTAGTATTTAGATGTAACTTTACCTCTTCGTAAATGTGGTGTGGGCCTTTCCTTTCATATGACTAGGTATATAATGTGAGGCATTGTGGTAAAATCAGCCGCTCGTCAAAGTCATGAAATGATAGAAATCGACATTTTTAGACAGATTGGCAGTTTTTTTCTAAAATAATTTCTTTTTCTTTTTCTTTTTTTTTGGGACTCAGAATATTTTATGTTGATTTAAAAAACACATTTCTGTAACAATTTTACTGAAACATGTTGATTAAAGACACAATAAATATATAACTTCATTTTCCAAAGACTCTCAGGCTATGAAGTTTGGGCTACCAAAGTTTGTCGGCCTTTTTCTCTCTAATTTAACCTCTGAAACAAGGCGACCCTGACTTCCTTCAATCACAAATATTTCGACTTCTATTTAGCATAGATGGATATACAAAAGGAAGACTGAAGAACAGGCTTTAAGATCATACTAATAAACCTCTATGCACAAAATTTGACGTGCACTTAAAGGTGCACTCACGAAAACGCACAACAAGACAGGACATTAGGCCAAGTAAATACATGTCTCACGGGCTGGGACAACCCGCTCCGTAAAACATTCTTGCCACCTTGTCGTGGCACAATTTTTAGTCAATTCTCTGAATACAGTTGTATCATTTTATCCGTAAAGCTTGCACATCCGTTAGTTGTATATGGGTGTGGATTATAACTTAGTCTAGATTTAGTAATAGTTTTACGACGCTTGCAATACAAATAGGACATACAAGTGCCTAAGATTAAAGGTGTTGCAAGAGAGCGACATGGCGCTTGTAATACAAATAGGACATACAAGTGCCTAAGATTAAAGGTGATACAAGAGAGCGACATGGTAAGAAACGAAGTAAGGCAGACACGAGCAATAGGTGCCCACATCCTTTTTGACTCATCAGAGCAGAGGAAGACAGGACCGACGCTAACATTAACATTTTAAAAGACCTCAACCAAAGGAAGCATGTCTTCTTAATAATTGTATCACACAAACACCATCAAACATCATCACTTATCACCACCACCATCGACATTTCTAAAATCATCATTGCTCTCAGGCAGAAATAATGCTTAGTGACCATAGCCACCCACTGACATCGGAATTTCAACTATCGACTCGCAGTAAACGATACATTTCCAAAAAAGCAAGAACAGACAGATAT